CGCCTGCTCTCCTCGCTGCGCGAGTCGATCGGAGGCTCCCTCGGCAGCCACTCCCGCGGCTGTCCAGAGGAGGAGTGGGAGCGAACGCTCGCCGTCCTCGCCTCCGCCATGTCGCACCACTGCACCTCCTCCGGCGTCACCGCCGCCGAGCTGGAGGACGCGTCCAGGTCATGTCCGAGACATGTCTGAGACATGTCCACAGGCGTCACCGCCGCCGAGCTGGTTGCGTTCGCCCGCGCCGGAGGGTACGGCGCGTCGGGGCTAGAAGCGGAATGCGTATTCATGTCTTCCAACCAGCGACCCCTCCCGTAGTCGGCCGTATCCGACCGTACTCCGCTGCACAACTCATTTCTTCCCGCCCATTTCTTGAGTCTTCAGCACGTAGGCACGTCGGGCTACGTAACCGCGGACGACCCGTCCCGCAAGCGACTTGCGACGCAGGTGCCGGCGCTACCCTCTGCCGGAGGCGACTGCGGCGCTGGAGCCGTTGCCGGGAAGGCTGGACGGGGAGGAGGAGGAGGCGGCGGCAGCGGCGGCGGCGGCAGCTGCGGCGGCGGAGGCGGCGGAGGCGGCGGCGGAGGCGGCGGCGGCGGCGGAGGCGGCGGCGGCGGCGGCGGCGGCGGTGGTCCCGCCGACGCCAGCTCCTCCTCCCTCCCCTCTTCCGGGACTGGGAGCAGCAGCGGCGGCCTCGTGCCGCCGGCGTTTGCGGCGGCGTTTGCGCCCGCCTTTGCCGAGGCGGCCCCACTTGCGGCGCCGTTTGGGGAGGTGTGTCTACTCCCCGGTCTGCCTCTCTCCCCCCCCCCCCCTCTCCCACCCCTCCCTCCTCCTCTCACCTCGCTCTGTCTGCCCCGCTCCCTCCTTTCGCCTCGCCTCCCTCCCCCCTGCAGGCGGGTCTCGCACCCTCATGGAGCGGCTTGACCAGCCACGGGCACGGCACGCCCATGGAGTGCGACGGGCTCGCTCACTCGTGGGGCGACTCCTTCTTCTCGACCGACGGCAACGAGCACTCCCATGGCCCGATGTGACACGCCGACATTCGCGGGAGGAGGGGAATGGAGCACCACGCGGCCCCCCGCCCTTCCACGCTTGGTAACGACGCTCGCGAAGCCCTCGCGAAGCTTCCGAGGGCGGCGCCCTGGGCCCTTTTGCATGCACACCGCCTCGTTTTGCGAGAGCTACAGCTGGTACAGGCGCGCTCGATGATGTAGTTTTGGACGCGGGGGAGGAGGTGCGACGGGGCTGTGGGAGCGGCGCCGAGCGTGTAACGTGCTTTGGCCCGGCGCTGTCGTTCGCGCTCCGTTGATGCTGTTGCATCGCGTGTGTTCGCGTTCCGTCGGTCTCTCTATAACTTAGAGCACCCGCACACATCACACGTACGTCCACCGCCACGGCCGCTCCGCCACGCGCGCCGTCGCGTTCGCCGTCGCCTCCTGTGCCCACACCCTCCACCTCGCCCGCCGGCCTCCGTCGGCAGCCGTCAGCAGCCTGGGGCAGCGCGTGCCGTTGACGCGCCTGTGGGCGGCGGCGCCCCAGCCTACTAGCCGCGTGTCTCGGTGGATGAGCGGCACGTAGTCGAAGACCAGCCCCGCCGGCCGGAAAGTCACGGGTCGCAGGTCGTCGCTCGGCTGCAGCGGGCGCGGCGGCGGCCACCGGCCCGCCGCCTGGGCAAAGGCGTTTGCGAGCCCGTTGAGCGCCTGCAGCCAGGCACCGTGGGCCGTGCTCCGGAGGACTCGCGCAGGGGTGCAGTTGAGCGGAGGGTCTCGCGCGCCTGCTCGGCCGCAAAGTCGTTTCGCGTCTCCATCGGCGTGATTGCGGCGTGCCAAGCCGGCAGCAGCGCCGCGTCGATGAGCGGGCACATGATCTCGATCAGGTCGGGCGTGTCGCCGTTGGGCAGCAGGCGCTGCGACGCGACTCGCTCCCGTCCCGCGACCCGCGCAGTCGGCCGCGTGAGCCGCGAATCATTGTCGCGCCGTGCGAGCTCCGCCATGAGTGAGGTGCGGTCAGAGCCGCGCCGGCCGCGCCGCACAGGCACGACGGCGGGCTGCGAGAGGAAGGGCGCGCCTGGAGTGACGACGGATGCGTGATTGATCAAGGCTGCAGCACGCGCGTCAGCGGGCTGCGAGAGGAGGCGCGCGGTGGGCAACCAGGGCGCGGAAGGCGGCGAGGTCGAGGAGGGAGAGGTCCAGGTCCGAGTCGAGCTTCCACAGGTGCGAGTACACACCTACCTCGCAGTGAGCTCGTCCTGTGAACTGACCATCTCGCCGCGCAGTCTCCTCCTGCTGCGGCGAGGGCACGCCGCGGCGCTGGCCGAGCATCCAGCCGACCGTGGTCTGGAGCGCCTCGAGGATACACCCGGTCCCGCGGACAAAGCCGCGGTGCACCACCCGCGCCTCTGCGAACCAGCGCTGCCGGCTATAGCGGAGCGCCGTCTCGTCGGCGGGCGAGCGAGCGTCGAAGTGGAAGACGGAGAAGTCGAACGGCGCCAGCGCGATCAGCATGCCGCGCAGCAGCTGCTGGCTGTCGTGACGGCTGTTCACCATCACGTGAATTAGCCAGCGCATCGGGCCGGGTATGGAGGGCTCGAGGAGAGACAGCTGCCGCTGAATACGCCTCAGCGGCTGCAGCGCCTGGCACTCCGCCGAGTAGTGGTCCGCCGAGGCTGGGTCCTGATGTCGACCAGATCGACCAGAAAGCAGGCTGGGGCCAGTGTCTTTGTCCTCCAGCAACCGCGAGCGCCTGAGACTGCAGGCGGCGACCTTGCTGGCGCTCCACCGCAGCACCGAGAGAGCAGAGCTGGAGGCTTTGGCGAGCTCCTGCGCCTCCTGCAGCGCGGCCAGGCTGGTCGCTCGCTGATCGTGAATAGCATCCGACATGAAGAAGCCGCGCCAGTGTACTGCTCAAGCTGCTCTGTCTCCCACCGCACCAACGCCCTCTGCGCGCGTCCGCTCGAACACTGCCTGCGCCGCTCGCGGCACGGAGGCCGTCCCAACGCCCAGTGCGTTCAGCGACCTGCCCTGGTACTCCTTGGCACGTTGAGCACGCCGCGCCGCCTCCCGTCCATTGGCGTCGGCATCCCGCAACTGCGCCTTTGCTTCACCACAGTGACCGCACTTCGTTGATCGTGAATCATTGGGCGTCTCGCGTCGGCAGTAGCTGCACTGCCAGTGCGTCAGCCGGCGGTCCATCCGCTTTGTCTTCCTCGCTCGCACCGGCCCGACTCCACCACCACGGCCACCGCCATCGGGCCGACCAATGCCGACTGCACGAGACAAAGGAAGAGTGCTTCCTCCAACGAAACCGCTGATCGGGTCTGCCAACTGCCCCATCCACTGAATGGGTCCGGCGTACAAAGGCACGCTCGCCGCCACCAGTAGGGGCTGCAGCATCACCACCTGTACCGCTGCTCTCGGCGAGGCAGCATACGGCGGCCGCTGCTCCGGCGACCGCTGCTCCATTCCCAGCGCCGTGTCTCCGCCTCTCCCCATCAACGTCGGCGCGATTAACGGCTGCTCCGGCTGCATCGATGCGTGGCACACCAACCTATGGTCAGCTACAACTACCAACCAACCTCTGAAATGGTGCCACAACTGCCATCCCTTCTTGCCCGGCATAGCAAAACCAAGCGGCCGAGTGTACTAGCTCGCAACCGCCCGATTTTTATAATCCTCTACTATTATACTACTAGTACACCGGTAGGATTCCTATGTCTTCTGCCAGGGTTCCATCTTTTTCCGGGTACAATGTATGGTATGGTCCGCCAACCCACCTCGAGACCATACCCCCCCCTCTGGGCCGGCGCGGGGGCCCCAGAGGGTGTCCATGCGGGGGGGAGATGGGGTCCCATGGCCCGCCGCAGGCGCCGATTTTTTTGGATTGTTTTTCTTTTTTGGAGTTTTTTACTTGTTTTCATGGGAATTCGGCGTACTTGCGGCCATGCTATCACGCCTTGCGACAGCCTGTCGGCGCAGCTGACCGTGCCATGATGCACAATTGATCACCTGCATAGCTCGCGGCCTTAGTATCAAGCATTCAGTGACGACCTGATCGTACGGCCAGTAGGAAGGTGTCCTTCCATCGTGTGCACGCTTCTGGCGCAATGCGCGTCACCTCGGATTGGCTGCTGGCACTCTCGAGGCTATGCCTACACAGCCTCGCGCGCATGGGCAGTCAAGAGGGACCACGCACCTTCTCAGGACAGCGCCGGTGCCTCTCTCTTGGACCGGCAAACGTGGTGGTATCGTGTCACCAATGTGGGACCAGTGCGGCATCGCGCCATCGACAGCTCTGAACTGCGCCTCACCACTGACCGGGAAGGCCGCCAAGTGGGCCAGCACAGGTCGCACATTGTGGCAGCAGTCAGCAGTGCATGGCTGATAGCTAGAGCAGCAGCGTCAGGGTCGCAGGGTCGGATCGTGTCAAGCCTCTCGCCCGGCCGGCCGCGTGCAGACGTCGGCCTGTCTGCTGTCTGGAGTGATCTGTCGGCGGTCAGTACGACCGATCAGGTCGGAGATTTCTGATGGTTGGAGGGTCTATCTGTATGTACTCCTCGAGATCTTTCCAAATCTGCCCTCTACTTAACCGTACTTAATCGGGAAGTTGGTGCTAGTGGAGACTAGTGGAGCCGGGGCCCCGTTTCCGCACTGCGGCGCGGCGCACGGTGCCTCCGGGGGGCCCCGCGCCGGCCCAGAGACCCCCCCGCCTCTGGGAAGACCTTGGGGTATGGTAGGGCTAGCCTTGGGCGGTCAGGACCATGCCCCCCCCCCTTTGGGCCGCCGAGCCTACCAGACAATACCCCAGAAAAAGTTGGAACCCAGTGTGCTGTTAGAGAGGCTTGTATTTTAAGAATTCTTTTCCCCTGACTGCTCCCTCACCTGTCTCCTCCCATCCCTCGTTTTCTGTCTTGTTCTTTCTGAAGAGGATCGGGGACGTGCAGGGGGTGGGGACCTGATTCCTGCTTTGCTGTTTTCTTTCTTTCTGCCTCTGATGTCAAGAATCACTGTCTGTGTAGTCTGTGAGAGTCTCGCGATTTCTTGTGTTGGTTTACAAATCTCTCTCTCTCTCTCTACTCTCTAGTCTTTGACTAAACAGGTGTGAGATCTCGAACATTTTTTACATTTTGAGGCGTGAACCGCGCCCTCAGTCGGCGGCAGATCTGAGTCGCTCTTCGCGACGTAGACGCCGCCCCCGGACGGCTCGTCTATCCACCACTGCCCGTCGCGGGTGTTGCGATAGATGTAGGCGCCGTTCTCGTGCAGGAACCAAGTTTTCTGCTGATCGGCCAGCGATCGCCAGCTCTCCGCTGTCGGCCATCGCATACTCTCACAGACGGCGGCGAAGCCTTTTGGAATCTCTGCGGTCGGGCTCTTGGCTGCGAATGTGCCAACCACCGACGGAACGCCAGCCTGCACGATCCGCACCGAGGGCGCCATGACCTGAGCAGTGCTTGCAGCGGGAGAGCAATTCTCGGAACTGGCTCGGCCGTCAAAGAAAGAAAAACACGGAGCTTTCTCCTTGGGTGTGCGCTGTGCCACTGTGTTCGTGAGTCACCCATCTCTCCCAGAGATGCTTGCTCTATTCATTTATTTAGCTTTTCCACTGTCTGTTTTCTTTCTTTCGTGAAATGCTTAAAGCTGTGGGGGCGCGCAACGATCGGCTCTAGATTTGATTAGATGTGGTCTATCCGATACTCACTCACGTATACAGCCACCGGGGGATGTCAAATCACGCACTGAGGCTCACAGCTTCCACTCCCCACACGCCTTCTCACTCAACTCCCACAGCATCTGGCAAGAGGCGGGGTCCTTCACTTTGGCGGACAGCTTCACCTCCACCGCCGGACCCCACAGGCGGATTACGGGACCTAAGGGACCGGAAGACGGCTCTATGCACGCGCCCGACGAAACTTCGCCGAGGCAACACTGTAGCAGCGGCATGGTGGCCTCCTCGGCCGATTGCAACAAACACTTGGTAAGCTGGAAGAAAAGGCTGTCGATCAATCCAGATGAGGCGAACTTTTCAGCCATGCCGGTGTAAGCGAGACCAGGTGCGGCGCAGACGGCCTTGACGGCTGAGCGGCGTGCCTTGAGCCGCTCGTGGATTGCCTGGGTCGCCACAGAATTTGCGAGCTTAGTCATGTAGTACCGCCTCCAGCTGGGTCCAAAGATGAGGTAGTTGCCGTTGCCGCCGAGCTGGCCGCCATTTGGGCCCAGGTGCTTCTCGCTCAGTGTTCGAGGGAAGTCGCGTGCGAGCGACGAGTGGTTGACGATGCGAGCCTCGCCACGCTGCTTGGCTGCCATCTCGAGCAGGGGGAAGCACTTCGTCGTCAGCAGAAAGTGGGACAGGTGATTCGTTTGCATCTGAATTCCGTAGCCGTCCTCGGTCGCAAGATCAGAGGACGAGCCCACGCCAGCGTTGCAGCACAGCACGTCAACGCCTTGGGCGCCGAATTTCTGAATGAGGGTGTCTGCCGCCTTGCGAGTACTGGTAAAGCTCGCGAGATCACACTCGATCGTCTCCACCGTCGAGTCAGGCACCAGATCCCTGATCTGGCGTTCGGCCTTACTTGCTCGGCTCGAGCTCCGGTTCAGCATGACCACGTGGGCGCCCTTGCGAGCGCACGTCAGAGCGCACACAAATCCCGTGCCAGACGTGCAGCCAGTCACGGCCACCACCTTGCCGGTCGCGCCAGAAAGCTTGGACACGAAGATCGGGAACCATTTAGTACTCGGCTCGCACTCGAGCACGCCGCCCGACGGCATCGAGTGCATGTACCCTCCTCGGCGGACGCGCGGAGAAGGTGGCTGACTTCCTCTTGATCACAGCGGATCGTGATCCGAGCGGAAGGGAGAGCTAACCGCCTTCTCGGAACAGAATTTTACGAGAGCTCGCTCTACAACACTGTGCAAAGAAAGAATTTTACAAAAGCTCCCTCGCACGTGCCCAGTGTCGTGCAAAATAAGAAAGAATTTTGGAAGCCGACTCGCTACAAAGAAAGATTCGCTCTCACCTGGCAACCCTGTCTGCACGTCTCGCGCGCGCGTGAACAGGGCTCCAGGCCCCAAATGACGTGTGAGTGTTAGAGTTGTTTGGTATTGCTAAAAATCTCTCTCGATGTCGAACATTCCTTTACACGCATGCCCATGCGCCCCACACTGACAGAAACGATAATACAGGCTCGCATCCGCCCAGGTGTGATTGTGGAGCAACCGCACCTCAGACGGAGTGAGAGAGTACCTCCGTGTCCTGCCTCGGTTCAGCTGCGGCGTGGCGGCACCATGGCCCCCCTCGACGCCAGTTATCCGGTCCATGGCCTGCAGGACTGCACTCATCGCCTCTGTTCGCCCCACCAGATCAAAGTGAGAAAGCATCGCGCTCGCAGACGCCAGCGGAACACGGGACGGCCTCTTGCGTGACTGCGCGGTCGCGAGCCGCCATCCTCCAACCAGGTATTTTGTCTGGTAGTTAGAGCCCTCGCTTGCGGCCCACGAAGGGAGCTGGCGGCGGCCAATGTTGTTGAAGAAGAGGCTCGAGATGGTTCGCTCCACGGGCTCGCGCAGCACAGTGGCCAGGACCAGCCTGCAGCCCTTTGCCTCTAGCGCTCTTCGCATTGGCAGGATTGTGCTGCGAAGCATGTCGTCGCTGCCGCCCAGCCCGGGCGCGCCGTGATGCTGAGAGACAAACGCGATGCTCGGCCTCGGCTTTCTCATCTCTGCGACAACCCTCCGCCACCCAAGCGACGTATTCCAAAGGCTGACAGGCCGCCCAAACATCCGCTCGTACGCCCAGCCGTTTGCCTTCGCGGCCTGCTCCATATGCCTCTCCACAGTCGTGCCTCCCGTCTTGCCTATGTGCACGAACCAGATGCAGCCGCAGCGAATGGGTGACACCGGCCTCGCCAGGCCGCTCCACGCGAGGCAGGAGCGATTCTGCATGTGTTTGCGTCCGGGAGCTTGTGGCCTCGAGAGAATTTGACCAGCGGATTTTGGCGCTGATCGTTCAACTCAACTTTTGATGTTGTCCGTTCACGCGCTCGATGCCGGAGAATTTTACAACTTCAGAGATCTCTTCTCCCAGTAAGCTAACAGTACGTACAACAAGACTCTCTCGCACGACACTGGGCACGGGACTGGCGCGCACTGGCTGGCACTAACAACAAACACAGGCGGGCAGGAAGGACACCAGGCTCACCAACCAGCAGCCGGACGGAAAAAATATGGATGGAGAGTGCGCCTGCCTCTTGCTCGCTTGTCAGTGCGGGTCCTCCTCCTCCTCGTGCGTGCGTGCGTGTGTGTGTGTGTGAGAGAGAGAGAGATGTGTGTGTGTGTGTGTGTGTGTGTGTGTGTGTGTGTGTGTGTGTGTGTGTGTGTGTGTGTGTGTGTGTGTGTGTGTGTGTGTGTGTGTGTGTGTGTGTGTGTGTGTGTGTGTGTGTGTGTGTGTGTGTGTGTGTGTGTGTGTGTGTGTGTGTGTGTGTGTGTGTGAGATTTTCCTTCTTGTGTGTGTGTGTGAGAGAGAGAGAGAGAGAGAGATTCTTGTGTGTGTGTGTGTGTGAGTGTGTGTGTCTCGTTACATAAATACACGGCAATCGCGGAGCAGATTGTCAACGAGCTCGCTTGCGGCGGGGGCGGTCGAGTGCATGTAGCAAAAGCCTCGCCGAAACGAAAAATGTTCCTCCTACACGGGAATTAGGTGGAAGAGCCATACACAAAAAAACGACCCGTGGTTGATCGCTACAATTCGCGCGCCCCCTGCCCCCTCCATCCTTCCAGGACCTGACCAACGTCCTGTCGCGTCCGACCATGGCACAAGACACAGGCCTCGCTGTAACCGTGCCAACCGCGACCATGCACAAGAAGTACGGGATCCCGAACCCGATCCACTTCTTCCAGAAGGCGACGGCTTCGCCGAATGCTCGCTCGGCGCCACCGTCACCAATTGGCGTGATGACCGAGCAGCTCGATGCTGACATGACCGATCCCGTACCCGACTGCGAGGCCGAGATCCGGACCTGCGTCGGAGGCCAGATGATCGTCGCGAGCGATTACAAGATGCGCTGGAACCCTGAGACTAAAATGACCCAGCACACCAGCACGCATGAGATCACGGCGGACCCTGACGGTTGCCACATGTGGGTCTCGGGCATGAGCTGCGGACAGTTGGCAAGGGTCAAGTGTGCCGACCCCACAAAGCAGGACATCTTCCGGTTCGATCTCGAGGGTGTCGCTTGCCCAAGGCCGCATACTGTGCGGTTCGACAAGGAGGGACGGCTGTGGGTGGGGCTCGAGTTTTCCGGCCTGATTTGCCAGATGGACGCTCGCGAGCTTTGTCGCAAGCCCGAGTTGCCGGGCAGCGACGGCTGCTTGTACAGGTCCATCGGCTACGACGATTTCAAGCAGAAGTTCGGCGTCAACCTGCAAGCCTTCCCGCGCCCCATCGCCACGCACCCGCACGGCTTCTGCTTCGACGAGGACAAGCACACAGACGGTCCAACCGCTCACATCTGGTTCACGGGCAAGCTCACCAACACGGTGGGCCGTCTCCGCCTCAGCGACGGCGCCGTCGAGCACTTCGAGCTTCCTACCCTCGGAGCTGTGCCCATCTACGTGGAGCTGGGGTGCGACCGCAACATCTGGGGAACCTGCCTGGACAGTAACAAGATCTTCCGGGTCACCCAGGGTGAAAGCCCTCTCGTCACCGAGGTGCCAATCACGCGTGATCCGGCCGGTGATTGAAATTAACTGCCCGGCTGCTGACCAGTTGCTGACCACTCGAGACGAGAGGGCTCTTGCATGTAGGTGGCCGTCGCCCCATCGCCATCAAGCGCTCGCCGTGCGGCGAGGCCATGTGGTTCAGCAACGAGGCCGGACACAGCGTCGCGCGGGTCGACACGGCAATGGTCGAGCGCATCGTGAGCCGACAGGGGACGCAGCCGACAGGGGACGCAGCGGTGGCGATTCACTCCGAGGCGGTGGCGTCACTGGCCGCGGAGCAGGGCGTCTTTGAGGGTCCCGACAAACTGCACGACGCGGTGCTGGAGTACGCGGTTCCGATGATGAGCGCCGAGATGAAGCTGGCGGGCCTCGCCTTCGACAAGGAGGGCAACCTGTGGACCCAGAGCTACCACGGCAACATGAAGCTCGCGGCGTACAGCATGGTCGACAAGGAGGCGGCGGACCCCGACTACATTGTCAAGATCGACAGCCTGATCCTTCAGCAGGCTTGTGACCAGGTTGCGAGGAGGATGGAGGGAACGACGCGCGACAAGGCGGGCAAGATGTCTGGCATCCCCGTCCAGCAGTTTGAGCTCCCTACGACGGCGACCACTCTCCACCGTATCGTCGCCGGCCCGCCTTGCGAGCAGTCGGACAGCGAAACCTCGATGTGGTTCACGGAGCTCTTCGCCGACCGCGTCGGCACCGTCCGGCTCTGCCGCGAGGCGTAGAGGTTCATGTGGCGGGGCGGCGTAGATAGACCCCGTAGGACGGGGTCTTGGGGCGGGTGCGCGAGAGCGGAGAAAGGAGTGCTGTGCAGTAGAGCTGTTGCGCCCATGTACGCACACAATTGTGGACGGAAGAAACATGGTTTCGCCCCCGCGCTCGCTCGCGCGCCTGTGAATCTCCATGGAGCGGCCGCACATCGCTCGGTCCCCCCATGCACTTCTAAGCTCACAGCTGACCCCCCCCCGGGTGGGTTACCGAGCAATGTGCGGCTGCTTCGGGCTGTAGAGCCGTACCTGGACTTAGGGGACCCCTAGGCTTAAAAGGGTGGGCCCTGGGGCGCCTGCGGCTTAAACGGCTTAAAACTTGCCATGGCAAGTTTTAAGAGCTGCTGGGCCGCCAATTCCTTAAACGGTCTTAAACGCTTAAACGGTGCGGGAGAGCTCCCGAGGTCGATGGTCCGGGAGGCTCCCGGTAGACGCCGGAGGCCGGGAAGCTCTCTGGGGGGGCGCGGGGGCCCTAGAGGGTATCCATGCGGGGGGGCGATGGGGTCCCATGGCCCGCCGCAGGCGCCGATTTTTTCGGTTTTTTTGCGCGATTTTTCACTTTTTCATGGGAATTCGGCGTACTTGCGGCCATGCTATCACGCCTTGCGACAGCCTGTCGGCGCTGCTGACCGTGCCATGCTGCACAATTGATCACCTGCATAGCTCGCGGCCTTAGTATCAAGCATTCAGTGACGACCTGATCGTACGGCCAGTCGGAAGGTGTCCTTCCAACGTGTGCACGCTTCTGGCGCAATGCGCGTCGCCTCGGATTGGCTGCTGGCACTCTCGAGGCTATGCCTACACAGCCTCGCGCGCAGGGCAGTCAAGAGGGACCACGCACCTTCTCAGGACAGCACCAGTGCCTCTCTCTTGGACCGGCAAACGTGGTGGTCTCGTGTTACCAATGTGGGACCAGTGCGGCATCGCGCCATCGACAGCTCTGAACTGCGCCTCACCACTGACCGGGAAGGCCGCCAAGTGGGCCAGCACCGGTCGCACATTGTGGCAGCAGTCAGCAGTGCATGTCTGATAGCTAGAGCAGCAGCGTCAGGGTCTCGCAGGGTCGGATCGTGTCAAGCCTCTCGCCCGGCCGGCCGTGTGCAGACGTCGGCCTGTCTGCTGTCTGGAGTGATCTGTCGGCGGTCAGTACGACCAATCAGGTCGGAGTTTTCTGATGGTTGGAGGGTCTATCTGTATGTACTCCTCGAGTTCTCTCCAAATCTGCCCTCTACTTAACCGTACTTAATCGGGAAGTTGGTGCTAACGGAGACTAACGGAGCCGGAGCCCCATTTCCGTACTGCTGCGCGGCGCACGGTGCCTCCGGGGGCCCCCGCGCCCCCCCAGAGGGGAAGCTGGCTACAGTCAGCTAGCACGCGTCCCCTATGCGAGTATGGCTGCTGCCAGTGCACCAGACTTACAGATGTGTCTTCAGAGGCGGGTTTGTGCCTAATAACAGCAGTATTGGAGAAAACGGCGCGGAACCCAGCGACGCATGCCGGCGAGGCCGATTTTCTTAAACGGTCTTAAAAGAGGGACCCCCCGTGCCTGCAATCTCTTAAATGGCAATTTCAGCCCCTAAACCTCCTCGTTTCTTAAAAGGTCTTAAAAAAATCCGGCCCTCAGAACCCTAGGGGTCCCCTAAGTACCTGGATAGAAGAACAGTCAGGCTCGGCGGCCTCACGGCCAGACTGTCCCCCAGCCTAGATGTTAGGGCCTGAGAGTAGATTTTAGGGGAGTCTTCCAAAGCCACACAGAAGACCCGTGGGGGGTCCCCTGACCACACAGGCCCAACACTAAATGCCCCCACGAGAGCTACACCCAAAGACATCTGGAGCCGTCACTTTGAGTGTGGGCCGCGGCCGGGGCCCTCTGGCCTGTCAGTCAGCCGCTGCGGCTCCGCGGGCCGCGCCGCTAGAGACCCGCCGCGACACACCGTCACACCGTCGCTGCATCGTCTCATCGAAGCCAGACAGTGGGTCCACCACACTGGGCAAATCGGCCGATTTCCCTCCCGCTAAATCATCACGGCCCCGTAACACCCTCCGCGCGCGGTCAAAGGCTTCCCAGGGCCGGTCCATGACATGAACCGATAGACACAAGCAAAAAAAACCGCACCTCTAAGCTTATCGGGCACCCCGAGGCCCATACGGCGTCCCGGCGGGCCCCGGCGGAGGTCCGGCGCGGCGCTCCAAATCCGCACTTCGCGAGCTTCTACGGGAGTTCACGCGGCCTCTCCGCCTCGTGAGGCACACCCCACACCCACCACGAGCCCTGGGGCCGTGGGCGGACCTTTGGCCGCGGCGTCCGGAGCTTTAGTCGTCGAACATCGGCCGCCAACTAGGCCGTCGAGCGAACGTGTCCGGAGAGGCTCTCGGATGGGTCCGGCAGCGGTCCCATGGACCCAGAAGCTCGCCCCGGCGGAGCACTCACGGCTCGACCCCCGCCCCTGGTCACCCAGACGTGCCCTTGGACAGCCGTAGGGGCTCGCATGACGACGTTGGCGCCCGCGACGACGCCCTCCCCGACGACGTCGCATCTGGCAGAAACTACTCGGGCGCGGCGGCGCGGAGGATCACATGGTTTGGGACTCTGAGCGATGGCAGAGGCCTTTTACTGCAAACGAGGACGCCCCGCGAGGCCCCGTTGGCCGGGAGTGGTGAGTGGGACCATAAACAAGCACTATATCCCCTACCGCGACCAGCCCACACACAGCCCAAACCGCTGCCAAACCGGCCCTGGTCACGCAGGCGGGGAGGCTGCCGGGGCGCCCAAACAGTCCCTCACGAACGCCACACGGGCCACCACGGCCCGTCCGGCGGCCCGAGTGCCGCCCCACACCCGCCCGACGCCCTCGGCCAGCCAGCGCCCACTCTGAGAGGCTTCACCGCCGCCAGCGCGCCGAGCGCGCCGCCCTCTCCTCGCGCCACACGGGCCCCTGGCCGCACGCCCGAGAGGCGGCCCATAATTTGAGTCGAGACGCGCCGCCGGCCAGCCAGCAGCTCGCCCGCCACCCGCAG